GAACATGTATATACATTCCTGTATACAAACCCTGTGTTACAGGTACATCTTTCAATACACCAGCCTCCTTTTGCATGGAGTTTCTTTCAGCTTCCTATTAGGTTTAATATATTTGTTTTCTTGTTAATGATGATGGCATCAAAGACATGGGCTGTAGTGGAAGCTTTGTGAGAGAGGAAGAGAAATTCCCAAGCAGTTCCCATCTTAACCTATGTGCTTCATGTGACCAGCAGCAATGCTTTAGTCTTCTGCATAAGTTACAACCTCACTGATGGACCTTTAGATGACAGTATTTGTGAGTGCCTGGGTAGTCTGTCTTGCTGCTGGTTGTGGAGGCATGAGGATGGGTAGGAGGTTTGGAGGGTGGCCGTAGCTATCTGTCTTTGGAGTTGATGCAAGAAGTGTGAACAGAATTGGGTAGGGGTGAACAGAATTGGGTAGGGGGGAATGGGGGGATCTTCCTATTTATATCAAGTCAGCAAACCCGTGGCCACGGCCCATCTTGCTACCATCAACATGGTGGTTTTTAAGACGTTCCTCTAATTATTCCTTCTAATCTCTGTTTGGACTTTTACCTTTTACAAATACACCTGGGCTGATGGGAGGAGGATCCACTTTGACTTCCCATCAAAGACTTCTGACTGCAGGTGTTTTATTTGCCTGGTGCAAATAAATGTTACAGCACATAGATATTACAGTATCAAAAGTGAAGAGCATCCTGGAAACCATATAGTCAGATGGAGAGGATGGATGGGTAAATTGATGTAACTGAGAGACCAGTCTGCAGACCTTGGCCAAATACCCTTGCAAAGTTTTATCAAAGCAGCCCATTAATTATGTGACTACTAGTACTGCTGTTTACTGATTCCCATGAACCTTCCTCTGATACTGGACTTCAACCTCAAAACTAAACCATCCAGAACTTCACGTCCATTTCTTCCTTTGCTTTCAGTCAGAGTTCTTTTTTTTTTTCTGATTAAGTCTCTACTGGGATTCTGAAGACCCAGCTCTGTCTCCTGTCCTGCCTTAAGCCCTTTGCAGCTGTGGATGGCCACGCAGAACCTGGGTTGACTTACTGCGCCTCTGCATCCCTTTCTGCACAGCAGGAGCAGCAGTGCTTTCCAAATCCCGGCTGCACAGGTGAAATCTTCAGCTCACAAGTGCCTTCATCCCATCATTCCACACACGTGCAGTGCAGTTGTGCATGGTGCTGCCACAAGACATAGGGGCCACTGCTGTAAGAGAAGAGTGGCAGTGATCATCAAGACTTTTTTGCAGCCTGCCTTTTCATTGCTGTAAGAGCCGAGGCTGATGGCTGACCATGAAGCACAACAGGTATTTTAAAATCTGAATTATGAGACAAGAGTGAATGAAGCACCAGAGAGACATAGTTAAACTCCAAAGATATTGCCATCATTATACAAAAATTAGACTGAAGATAAATATTTGTCTCTCAGCTATTTCAGTTTTATCAAGTCTATAAAACAATAATTACCTGTCATTTTGATTTTGGAGTTAGCAATGACTCACCACCACATCGGCTTGGCTGACATGCCAGACCTTCAGCATAGGAGAGGCTTCCAGCTGGGTAATGTATTCATCCACCGAGGAATGAATTTAATACAAGCTTTAAACAAGTGATTGTTTAAACTGGGTGATTTCCAGTTGCTGTTGCCACTCCTGTACCACCAACAGCTTCGGGTAACACTGCTGCTTTGCAGGTGACAGTCCATGATGGCACGTATACTACGTGACCAACATGCGTGTTTTATGCTCACATTTTACAACACGTCTTTCCCCATTGGCCATTCCTCCTTTATTTTCTAAACTGAGTGCTGGCAAGCTTGAGCTCTGATGGTCCATCGGGTGCCTTCACCTCCCCAGCATGAGGGGAAACCCACCGCACCTCCATGTCACATCAGCTTGCAGGGAGCAGCAGCACAGTTCAATCCCCATTCTGTGGCCACCCACTGTCACCAATGATGGGCACCAGGCTCCATGAAGCCCTGCATCCTGGGTAATCACACCCGTAAGCTTAAATTTTCTAACCCAGCAAAGGTTAAACAGGATCTTCCAAAGCCAGCACCTTCTCTGCAAGTACGCATCCCAGCAAGAAACACTCCCCTCTCCCCTCACCCCCACCCCGTGCCAAGCAGGATGGAGAATTGTTGCCTTTCAGCCAGAAACAGAAATGAGTTACAGGGGTGATCTCTGTGTCTGCAGGGAGAAGACAGCTGAAAAGATGTGAGCATAGGATGGGGCCAGCCAAAGGCCATGATACAGCCAGAGAGTGCCTGCCTCTGGGATCCTGGCTGTACCACAGGTGTCCCTCAAGAGTCCATCCTGGGACCAGTACTAGTCTGTATCTTCATCAACAACACAGTGGGATTGATGACACTTACCCATCGTGGCAGCCTGTGAACACCAACAGAACATTTTATGGGAAAAGCGTTCTTTGTTATAAAGGTTTGCCTGCATTATGGAAGCTGACACTATTTGAGTGTGGCGCTGGGGCCAGGACGGTGCGGAGGACCCCACACATGGCTTTCACCCTAATTACTGTAAAGCTAGTTGAATGAAGAAGGCAGCCCCGGGGTGGGGGGTGGGGTGTGAGCTCCAAGCTTGAGCTGTATCTTTATCTGACACTTGTTGCCTGTTGCTGATCTATCCTCCAGCTGTCACACAGCAAAAGAAGTGATTTCTTCACTCTCAGAATGACTCGCTTCCTCCCTGCTGCTCTGCCATCCCTGGTGGTTTCTATTTAAATCACAAAACCAGAGCTGCTATGTCAAGCTTTGTTAATAATGGCAGCCTCACCTGAATGGGTCTGGTAGCAGGAGGCATTGACCTGGATGGGCGTTTGCCCAGTGTGCAGTGCAGGGCTGGAGTGTGGTACCCTGCGCACCTGGAGCTGGAGCAACGAGCATCCTCCATCACTGTAGACTTTCTCCCTCCCCCCACCAAGCCTTAAAGGTATGAGTTGAATAGAAAATTTGTTCTCCCTGTATACACACATATACATATAAAAATATATATATAAAAATTACATTCTGAGACAAAAAGTTATCAAGTACAATTGCTGCAAGAAACTAGAAAGCTACATATGGGAACTGAGCAATATTCTTGGGGTTCTGGCATTCTGCTTTTGTGTCTATTAATAATCCCCTGGAGTGAGTCATATGGAGATGCATTTATTCACTGAGTCGGAGAGAGCTGCTGCCCAAAATAGCAGCTATGTAATTTTTTATGATGCTGTAATGCCAGTGTGGTGAAGATTGACATCATTTAACAGAGATGCTCTCTGCCTGGCAATCAGATAACCCATGTCAAGCGTGAAGATAAATGTGGAAAGCCACGTGCTCAGTTACATAAAAGAGCCATGAGAGCCAGCCTGTGTTGGAAATGCCTTTTTGC